GAGCATTTCTGCATTGCAGAGAGCTGATGTGTGTTATGAGATAATAAATCATGTGTGAACTTTCTCAGTTTAGCGGAATCATGAACATTTTCGGCGAGATGAATGTTTTGTATACAGTGGTGATCAAGGCTTTGCGAACCATCAGGAGCGGATCAAAGAATTTATGAATGAATAAAAACTATGGAAATGACGTACCAATTTTTTAATTTATACTTGCACTATCTAATGAAATGAATAATATACAAGTGATAGATATACAAGAAAACGCGAAATGATAATAAATGCAGCTGACAATCGTTATTTTTTTTTTATATAGATAAAATAAAATATTTATAAATTCAAGAGACAAAACAGAAGGAGAATGAATGATGGCAAAATATCACATGACCGGAACTGAATTTTATGAATGAAGATTTTAAAAAGTTACTTGTAAGTTGTATATGTTATATCTGTGTATTCTACTTGGCTGTGTGCTTCAAAAAAAGGGGGGGGGTCGTCTTGAACACAGTAAATAGCCATAACGTTCGAACGGTAAGTACTAGGGCTTTCGTATTTCAAATATGTAATCCTTGTGAAAAGAACTTTTATTGGATACGACGAACTTTGACCCTTTGACCTAGACCTTGGAGAACACATGTGTACATCTGAATCTTTTTTTCTGTTTCGTTTCTATGGCAACCGTGAGCGACTCATTACAATTATTTTGAAAGTAGAAATCACTTTGACACATTGCAAGGAATAAACATTGAAAGTTTGAAAACGATTGCCTGAGTAGTTATTGAGAAAATCGAAATTAAAGAATTTTAACTTTCACCTGGTTTCCATGGCAATAATCGATTATATGAAAATTTTGAATACGAGTTGCAGAACTACAGATACTAATCATTAAAATAAGAAAAGTTTCATGACGAACGTTTAAGGGACCAGAGAGAACACTCTCGGACAAAATTTGTCGCTTTTTACAGGTTTCCATGGCAACGGTAGACATATTGGAACTGAACGACCTCACTGCACAACTACAACCAGTGATCGTCCTTTAAGGAAAGTTTCAGGAAGATTGTCCCAGCCATCTCCAAGAAACAGCCTGGATAAAAAAAACATGCGTACAATATCAATATGTCGTCCCCGACTTCGTTCGGGGCGACATAATAACTCCTGAATTTTTCTCATCAATAACTCCTGAATTTTCCCCTTCAATTCGAGCATTTCTGCATTGCAGAGAGCTGATGTGTGTTATGAGATAATAAATCATGTGTGAACTTTCTCAGTTTAGCGGAATCATGAACATTTTCGGCGAGATGAATGTTTTGTATACAGTGGTGATCAAGGCTTTGCGAACCATCAGGAGCGGATCAAAGAATTTATGAATGAATAAAAACTATGGAAATGACGTACCAATTTTTTAATTTATACTTGCACTATCTAATGAAATGAATAATATACAAGTGATAGATATACAAGAAAACGCGAAATGATAATAAATGCAGCTGACAATCGTTTTTTTTTTTTATATAGATAAAATAAAATATTTATAAATTCAAGAGACAAAACAGAAGGAGAATGAATGATGGCAAAATATCACATGACCGGAACTGAATTTTATGAATGAAGATTTTAAAAAGTTACTTGTAAGTTGTATATGTTATATCTGTGTATTCTACTTGGCTGTGTGCTTCAAAAAAAGGGGGGGGGGGGTCGTCTTGAACATAGTAAATAGCCATAACGTTCGAACGGTAAGTACTAGGGCTTTCGTATTTCAAATATGTAATCCTTGTGAAAAGAACTTTTATTGGATACGACGAACTTTGACCCTTTGACCTAGACCTTGGAGAACACATGTGTACATCTGAATCTTTTTTTCTGTTTCGTTTCTATGGCAACCGTGAGCGACTCATTACAATTATTTTGAAAGTAGAAATCACTTTGACACATTGCAAGGAATAAACATTGAAAGTTTGAAAACGATTGCCTGAGTAGTTATTGAGAAAATCGAAATTAAAGAATTTTAACTTTCACCTGGTTTCCATGGCAATAATCGATTATATGAAAATTTTGAATACGAGTTGCAGAACTACAGATACTAATCATTAAAATAAGAAAAGTTTCATGACGAACGTTTAAGGGACCAGAGAGAACACTCTCGGACAAAATTTGTCGCTTTTTACAGGTTTCCATGACAACGGTAGACATATTGGAACTGAACGACCTCACTGCACAACTACAACCAGTGATCGTCCTTTAAGGAAAGTTTCAGGAAGATTGTCCCAGCCATCTCCAAGAAACAGCCTGGATAAAAAAAACATGCGTACAATATCAATATGTCGTCCCCGACTTCGTTCGGGGCGACATAATAACTCCTGAATTTTTCTCATCAATAACTCCTGAATTTTCCCCTTCAATTCGAGCATTTCTGCATTGCAGAGAGCTGATGTGTGTTATGAGATAATAAATCATGTGTGAACTTTCTCAGTTTAGCGGAATCATGAACATTTTCGGCGAGATGAATGTTTTGTATACAGTGGTGATCAAGGCTTTGTGAACCATCAGGAGCGGATCAAAGAATTTATGAATGAATAAAAACTATGGAAATGACGTACCAATTTTTTAATTTATACTTGCACTATCTAATGAAATGAATAATATACAAGTGATAGATATACAAGAAAACGCGAAATGATAATAAATGCAGCTGACAATCGTTTTTTTTTTTATATAGATAAAATAAAATATTTATAAATTCAAGAGACAAAACAGAAGGAGAATGAATGATGGCAAAATATCACATGACCGGAACTGAATTTTATGAATGAAGATTTTAAAAAGTTACTTGTAAGTTGTATATGTTATATCTGTGTATTCTACTTGGCTGTGTGCTTCAAAAAAAGGGGGGGTCGTCTTGAACATAGTAAATAGCCATAACGTTTGAACGGTAAGTACTAGGGCTTTCGTATTTCAAATATGTAATCCTTGTGAAAAGAACTTTTATTGGATACGACGAACTTTGACCCTTTGACCTAGACCTTGGAGAACACATGTGTACATCTGAATCTTTTTTTCTGTTTCGTTTCTATGGCAACCGTGAGCGACTCATTACAATTATTTTGAAAGTAGAAATCACTTTGACACATTGCAAGGAATAAACATTGAAAGTTTGAAAACGATTGCCTGAGTAGTTATTGAGAAAATCGAAATTAAAGAATTTTAACTTTCACCTGGTTTCCATGGCAATAATCGATTATATGAAAATTTTGAATACGAGTTGCAGAACTACAGATACTAATCATTAAAATAAGAAAAGTTTCATGACGAACGTTTAAGGGACCAGAGAGAACACTCTCGGACAAAATTTGTCGCTTTTTACAGGTTTCCATGGCAACGGTAGACATATTGGAACTGAACGACCTCACTGCACAACTACAACCAGTGATCGTCCTTTAAGGAAAGTTTCAGGAAGATTGTCCCAGCCATCTCCGAGAAACAGCCTGGATAAAAAAAACATGCGTACAATATCAATATGTCGTCCCCGACTTCGTTCGGGGCGACATAATAATAAGAAACAGAGTAAAAACAATATGTTCCCCAACTTCGTTTGGGGAACATAACAAGTCACTGATCGCAACACACTTGTCAATATGACGTCATTTCTTTCAACGTGACGTAGTTTGTATGCAGTGAGAGACAGATCCAGTAATATATTCCCAACAAAATATGTATTCTCTAATTAAATGAAATATTATTTACAGATATTCTATAGGCCAATAACTTGAATTTAATGTCTTCTTCACTATTGTTTTAATATATTTTCTGTATATTACGTATTTAATTGATACTGCCGTGTATTAGTATGTAAGTACATCGGATGGTAATGTGGGGGGTCTTAATAAATCGATCTAGTGCAAGGGCATACACTCTATGGATCTAAGTAAGCTTTTATATTTCAAGTACTGAACTATTAAGGTATCTGAAAAGTGCTGCGATCCTGATGAAATCTTAAAAACAATTTAATTATATCAATACTTCATGCCGCTGACAACATTCGGTCATACAAGTATAATTTTAACAATGAAATTGCAGAAATTAGACAGGATCGCAGCAACTTAGAAACTACAATGCGTGTTGAAAATATTTATATACTAAACTTGGAAATTTAACTTGGTTATGCCCTTGCACTAGTGATATTTATATGTAACATCATTACTCCAGGTCATTGTGTTAAAATCGCGTGACTGCAACATCACGTGACTAGTCTAAATATAAAATATAATGGTCCTCTATATGTAGTTATTAATCATAATTACAATTATCCAATATAAATAATGTACTAAAAATAATTCTCTTTAAAAACTGCTGAGTACATAATTTCATAAGGATTTTGTTATGGTTTTAATTACTAAAGAAGAAGATGTAGACCCAAAGTAAAGATTAAGAATTTCTATCAGCTGTTCACATGAAGGTTCTATATTAAGAAAATGATAACTTCATTAGGAAATCATAATTACTTGACATTTTAACAGAATTTCTTGAAATTTTTTCAGATAAATTTTTTGCTAATACACTAGATGTTGACAAAATACGTTTGTTGTTGTTTTGGTTTGATAAATTTTGAGATGATTAAAAGTGTAATATTAGTTTTGGGACACCCTGTAAAAGAAGATACACAAAAACACAACACTAAAGAATAGAATAACAGACACCGATAAAAATAAAAGACACAAAATCAGAAAATAGAAAAGGATAATAGAAGACACAACATTAGAATACAAACGTTTTTTGGTACAGATGTCATGTACACATAAAATAAGCTATTGGACAAAACTTCTAAAATATAACCCAGTTTCAATGATGATTGTTTGAAATAAATTACTCACATTAACTATGTATTAATAAATGGTAATTTGAAATATTAAAAAACTAGTAAAACATTGTATTAATCCACAATGATGTTCGAATGAAACATTCATTACTTCGGATGTTTTTATTAAGCCAACAATGACTTTCTTTTATTTCTGAGTGAGATATGACGAACTCGCAGAAGATTTTGTTTGATATTCTTCTTTTATTTCCTGAACTTCTCTTTTCAAGTGTTCAACCTCTGTCTGAAATGAAGATCTTAAATTCTTTTGTTCATTTCGAAGGTCTGTTAATGATGTTTGCATATTCGTCATTGACATTTTTAATTCTAACAATATTGTTCCCAAATTAACTTCAGACATACCGCCAGCATTCCTCTGCAGTAATAAGTCTGAATTAGGAGGTTTTTCGGATGTTTTAGGGTTGTTCATAGAGGCCAAGGAGGTACATGGTTTTAATCTATGAGGAAGACCAAAAGAATCTAAAATTCTAGTCATTGGTGTCACAAAACAGGACCCTTTGGTTGTAGAGCCAATAGCCATCCCAATACAGCTTAGTGTCTTATCAGGGTTGATACAAAAAACAAAGGATCCCGAATCACCAGGTTCAAAAAACATACCGTGGGGAAGGCTTTGAATTTCTATTTGGTTACACATATGAACAGGCGTTTTATCCGGCAATTCTCCAGTGTCGTCCACAAAGCGGATATGCGCTCCATTATAATACAGACTTCCAATAGTGAATCCTGTTTTACTCCCGTATTTAATAACACTGTCCATTTTTTCTGGAATTCTACTGCTTACTATAGTATCTGGAATATTAACAACCTCTCCAGTAAATACGGGTGATATATTTGGGTCAAATCCTGGAATTAAAATTAAAAAAAAATTAAATAATATTTTATTTTGTAATTGCTCAATTTATTTATTCATTATTCAAGTCGATAAAACAAGGATACCAGCAGTCTTATTTAAAATCATCATTTCGTAAAGTCACCATTTGTATGGTCGATACAATGTCATTGTTAACACATTGAGTCAATTGATGACTGATTTTTTTCATAATAATTGTTAGTCTTTTAATTGACATTGACTTGACGACGGTTTTTTTCGTTATGTCCCGATCATGACAAAGAGCATTTTAAATTAGTAGTTTAGTTGAAATTGGTGAAATGCCTCTATAAACAAGAGGCCTCTGAGTCACAGCGCTCACGTGAGCACATCGGCTAGGAAAAAGCACATTTCAGAATAGAACTGAAAGTTTAGTAACGTGGGAGGGGGGTTGAATTTAACCCCCCCCCCCCCAGGGGATCATCATTTGAACGAATTAGAATCTACACTACATGGGGATTCTTCCATATAAATATTACTAATGATGGCTTTGAAGTACTTGCAAAAAAGATTTTAAAAGGTTTCCCTATATATGCCTATGTACATGTAAAACTTTTAACGGCCATTTTGGCCCCACCCTACCCCCCGGGGTCATGATTTGAACAAACTTGAATCTACACTACCAGAGGATAATTTTTCCCCGGGACATTATTTGAACAAACTTGAATCTACACTACCTGAGGATAATTTCACAAGAGTTTCATATTTCCTGTCTTAATGGTTCTTGAGAGAAAGATTTTTAAAGATTTTTCCTATATAAAGTCCTATGTAAAGCTTTGATCGGTCATTATGGTCTCACCCTTTCCCAAGGGGTCATGATTTGAACAAACTTGAATCTACACTACCTGAGGATGATTCCACATGAGTTTCATCTCTCCTGGTCTAGAGGTTCTTGTCAAGAAGATTTTTAAAGATTTTTCCTATATTTTCCTAAATAGAACTTTGATCAGCCATTATGTCCCCCACGCTAGCCCTAGGGATCATGATTTGAACAAACTTAAATGTACACAATCTGAGGATATTCCACATGAGTTTCATCTTTCCTGTTCCTATGGATCGTGAGAAGAAGATTTTTCCTATGTACATTTGTATTCCTATGTAAAACTTTGATCGGCCATTTTGACCCCCACCCTACCCCCGGTGTCATCATTTGCACGAATTTGAATCTACACTACCTGAGGATGATTCCACATGAGTTTCATTTTTCCTGGCGAAGTAGTTCTTGAGCAGAAGATTTTAAAAGGTTTTTCCTATATTTTTTTTATATTTCTATGTAAAAATTTGATCGGGCATTTTGGCCCCGCCCTACCCCCGGGGCTCATGATTTGAACAAACTTCAATTTATACTACCTGAGGATGCTTCCATATAAGTTTCATCTTTCCTGGCACAGTGGTTCTTGAGAAGAAGATTTTTAAAACATACCATTAAATTTTTACTATTTCTCAATTATCTCCTCTTGAATAAGGGCGTGGCCCTTCATTTGAACAAACTTCGATCCCCCTTACCTAAGGATACTTTGTGTCAAGTTTGGTTAAAATTGGTCCAGTGGTTCTTGAGAAGTCGAAAATGTGAAAAGTTAACGACAACAACAACGACGACAACGACGACGACAGACAACGGACAAATTTTGATCAGAAAAGCTTACTCGAGCCTTCGGCTCAGGTGAGCTTAAAAGGTAAAAAAGTAGTACTTAAACTGTAATGACCTCATAAAATGATACCCTCTCCCGCTCCCACATGAATATACTGTCAAAACTCATACAGGTATTTTTTTTTTTCAACCGTCTTTCTGATAAAAACTAAAAATAGATTTTGTACAATTTTGAAAAGTTTTTGTATGTGTGTAATAAACTTTAATTCAGTTGTTTATATGAATATATGGTTATTTGTTGATTAACGTCCCGATCAAAAAATTAACCATTACATAGAGGCGTTATCATTCCCCGGTAAAGGACTTCAAATTCAAACCATTACTCAGTACTCAGGGCAGTGAGAGAGTTTTCTTTTGTGCCAAAATCTACCTCATCTTAGTTTAAAAGTGTCGAACGCTTTGCGAAGGAACAGTTGCGACCTATTCTTTTTAATGTAATATGTCAAACACCACCGGAATTAAATCTGCGACTGATCACGTGTTAAGCACTTTAGAATCTGAGGTACCGTGATGGTCATTTATTAAGTAAAAGAAATGCAGAGCGCTAGCGATGGATACTTAAAATAATAAAGAAGTAGTGAAGAATGGCTCTTAAAATACGAAGGTTGAACCAAAAGTAATGTCACAACTTTGATAAAATTGCTATTAATCCACGTTAAGCAACAAAATTATACATAATGGAAGCTTTATTTATTTTAAATCAGACCTGAAAAATTTAAATCAATATAATGTACACTTTCCAAAATATTGGATTTTACACAATGTGCGTTTATGGTAGACACTGCACCAAAATACAACGTTATATGACGGATACGCACCTAGCTTCATACTTTTGAGCGTTTCCCTTTCGATTCATTAAAAAAAATATATATGAGTTATTATCAAACAATTACACAAATTCCACTTTCTTTAAGGTTTCTTGCTACCATTATACACTCACTTTTTTCATAATTAAGCCCTCTGTCAAAATATTTTGAACAGTAGCTTAAGACAAACTAAAAATTCACATGTCACTTTAAACATCTGTCATTTTTGAAAACGTCAGACACCATTAAGCATTTCTGTTTAATCTCCTACCCGGTATCTTTTGGTCTTTTTGTCCTCTGTTGATAATTTATTGACCAATCACCGGTCCAAAATTGCTAAAACTATCTAATAAAATGTCTTCTATTTATTTAAATTCTTTATTGTGTAAATCTGGGTAATAAACGTACCTATTACTTGTTATGATTCCAATATTTTTGTCCCCCGTTTTAACGAAAACGGGGACCATTAAATCTCATTTGTATGTCCGTCAATCTGTAAGTCTGTCCTTCTGTCCGTTCGACACAAAACATTTAAAATTGCCAATAACTTTTGATGAAGTGGAGCTATCAGTTTCAGATTTCACATGTGTATTTCTTGTGACAAGACCTTTCATTGGGTAAACTTCACAAATGTTATTCTTGTTATAAGGCTTTATATTTGATACCAAGAAGTTTGACCTTCTGGTCATGACTTTGACCTTGGAGTTTTGCGTATTTAAAAAAAAAACAAACCTTGAGCATAACTTTTGAAGGATAAGGGCTAGGTTTTCATACTTTACATATTTAATCCTTGTACCAAGACCTTTCATTGGATATCAAGAACTTGAACATCTGACCTTCACCTTTATGTTTGACTTACTTTTTAAAATTTTAACACTGGTCATAACTTTTGAACAATAAGGAAGAGATCTTTCATAATTCTCTTATGTAATACTAGTGACGAGACCTTTCTTAAGTAAACAAAATTTTTCATCCTTTGACCTTAGAGTATGACCTATATATATCTCTTTCCTTTCCTTGGACAAAACTTTTGACCTTGACCTTCGTGATTAATCTTATAATTTTTAAAAAATCAACTTAGGTGATAATTTTTAAATGACGTATGATAGGGCGGTTATATTTGCCTCAATATGTCATAAAAAATGACATCTCACCCACAAAAACAACGAAAGCGGAGAACCACAATTCTTTGAGTTTGCTTGTTGAAGGAAAAATGCATTAAAACTCTTGTCGAGACTTTTTTCTCTCATTTCGATCATCCCTCTGTTTAATTTGTTCAACAGAGTAAAACAACAATGTTTATGATCACAAAAACCAGTGCCGTCATTTAATTTAAAATTAAAGACTACGAAAATGGGAGGAATTGTATCTTTTTAAAAATTCGGAAATTAGGTGCGTTTTTATAATATATTTTTAATGTGTTAGTCTTTTTCATTCTCTTAAAAAATAAACTTTAAAACGCAACGTTCCGTTGTGACGCGGTGACACTTTTGCACTATGATTTGAACATATATAAAATAAATTCAAAAAACAACTTTAAATGAAAATTTCAATGTTAATGAGATTTATATTCGTGCATCTTGTATTAAAAAATATAACACCAAATATAAAAGATATGAACACTTTGACATTACTTTTGGATCAACCCTCGGAGGTGTCCGATCAAAACGTAAAATAGGAGATTTTTATAGGTACTATGAGGTGTTACAGATGCTATATCGGCAAAGAAAAACGTAAACATTCGAAAGGTCTCGCATGTCTTTGCCTATATTTCCTGCTTTTAGCAGAATGGTAGAAAAAGATACAAAACAATAATTTTAAAGGTCAACAAATGTAAAAGATATATTTGCGATAAATTTGTATCAAAAAGTTGTGACAAAGGTATCAGAACAGAAAAAAAAAATATCTTACTGAATTATCATACATATTTCAAAAAATAAAAAAAATATATATACTTAAACATACCTGCTGAATATAGTTGATGAGGTAGGGTTACAGGAAATCCAAATTCGTTTATAGTTTGATCAAGTTTTATCAAAGCAGCATCAACTGATTTGATATCAGATGATAATGGAAAACATTTATCCACGATGGTGCCACACACTTGAAAATTATGCTGATTTTTATCAAAAAATTCTACGTTTAAATCAGTATCTATACCCAGTAAATAGTTCTGCATGACACTATTTGGTATTTTTAATTCATCTGTGGAAAACACAACATGAGCACATGTTATTAAACCAACTGAACCATCTGAAAAATCAACAAAACCCCCAATGCTTCCATTTCCAGGCGTGTTAATTCCTCTGGCACGACGAATATGTCCTCCAAAGTCTATAGATCTACCACTTCCAAAAGAACAATATCCCTCCTGTACGTCTACATCAAACCCATTGATTTGTTTTGGGAACTCTCTTTCTCCTAATGGTATGTGTCCTTTATGTAGACACAACAGACTAATGCATGGTTTTTTGACAACCCTGTGCTTTCCTGTTGAATACCCTGTTGATTTAAATGGGGATGCTGATATCAGGGAGAGGTTGGAATGCTTATTAAGGAGTTGTTGCGCTTCTTTTTCTGCAATAACAGGTAAGTTTATCACGGAACAAGAAGCCACACTGGAACTAAAGACAAATTTTGCTTCATCAGATGGTTGTGTATAGTTATAAAGTACTAGACTAACCCCCATGGCTTTTTCGGGGATTCCGTCTTTCATTTCTATAATTCCTTTGTATGTCATCATTATTACAAGCCAATTTTCTTGACTGCATTCATAACAAAACGATAGACTGATTGAATTTTTTCGAAGCCTTGGAAATCTGCTTAAAATCATGCATTTCGCTGTTTGCAAGAGGGTGTCAATAAGGACAGAATTAATCTTCTTCCCTTCGAAACGTTTTTGCAAATTAAAATCAAAATTGAATATGTATGACCTAACAAGCTCTAAAACTAATATGTGGTTTTTGTTCTCAATAGCGTGATCCATGCAAATATCAATAATCAAAGAAAGGGGTTTTGGTTTGAACTGAATTATTGCTTCTTTGGTATATGCAGCAAATAAAGTGGATAAAATGGATCGACATTTTGTAGAGTATGTTTTTTGGAAGACTTCATCACAGTCCATCATCCAGCTCAAAAAATCATCAACGTGATTTTGAGTAAATGGTTCAAAACCTTTAAACTGCTTTTCGTCCTTACTTAAATCCAGACCTGAACAGTCCAGGTAATCAACTCTCTGAATGATGTCCTTATATTTAGTTGTTTTATTCTGACCTCTATGATACTGATGATATTGTTGAGAATGCGTTTGTTCAATATATAAATAATCAATTAGTTTTTGGATTCTAATGTCGGCTTCTCCATCATTTTGTCTGAGTTGTTCAAGTTTTTGGTCAAAAGACAATAGCTTTCTCTGAGGTGAGGTCCACTCTGCAATTAAAAATAATTTTAAAAAATGATTTAATTAATTACAGTACCGACCAGACACAGATTTACACCAGACCGATTCAATAGCGGACCACAGGTTCGTTTCCCGGTATCGCTCTTGGTCCTCTTTGAGTTCACTATCAGAAATTTGGGGACCGCTCTGGGTGCGGTCCTTGTTCGTTTTGAGTTCGCTCTGAATCTGCTAAAGCGAACCCAGTTTCGCTTTCTGGGTTTGCTGTTTGCCCTCAAGCCTAAAGCTTATATTGCTTCAATCTTGCCGCAAGTAACTCCCGCCCCTTGTATATTTCAGAACAAGTAGTGAAATTGATTATCATTCTTGATACTGCGGCGATCCGTACATGCACACGTACACTGTGCATGTATAAAGTGCCACTGTGGTGCAGGCTAACATTCGACATAGGATACCGATTTTCTACATTTCCCTCGGAAATTCGATCTCGAGAAATTGGCATTTATTTTTCCTAACTTGTAACGCAAAAAAAAAACATTAAAGGAGAATGAAATGGTGTTGAATTTATTTTGAATGACTGGGACGAAGTACGTACTGATGAAACTGGCGAGAGCATAAAAAAAAGAACATTTTCAAATTCTTGCGTTAAATAATTATAAGAACTATTTTATTTTCAATTTGTTTTGCTAAATTCAGGTCTAAAATTTTGTTAGACATCAAGTGATTTATGGCTGATAAGATTGTCTTATCTATAATTTAACTGAGACATATTGTACACGTAGTACAAAAGTTGTTTTATATAACAGTTTCACATCTAGGTTAATAATACATATTGAGCAGATTATTTATTTTGAAAAATCTGATAAAAACTTTTTCTTTGTTATACTCTCAGATATCAGGAGGGGGATCGGGACCCCCTGGAATTTGCAAGGTTATTATATCTCCGGGGTCATATGGAAATCAGCTTGTCTGTCTGTCTTTAGACAAGATTTTGTCCGGACCATTTCTCAAAAACTAAAGGATTTGTCTGAAAATTTTTACACTTATAATTCCCCATATGAAGGCTTCAACCTGGTAATTTCTTCATGATTGGCTTTTTTTAATTTATTGTGTTGTTTTGTTTGGCTCACAACTAGAAAAATATTAGACTTACAATCATCAAACTTTGCCAGTTTATGCAGCTTGGGTAGAAGATGTGGTGCGACTTATTTTCTTAGGGCAATGTGACCTTTAATTCAAGTGAAATTATCATGGACTGGTCAAGGAGAATTAAATAACAGAAAATTGCATGGCAAATTAGAGAGAAATTAATTACTTTAGTGTAAGGTGGTAATTGTAGAAATTCTCTGATCAAGAAGATGTTATCTATATATCTTGGGAACAGGGTTTAGGAATCAGGGCCCGTTTTACAAAGGGACTTACGACTTAAGACCAAGTATAATTATTCATGTAACTTTTTAGCTAACATTACATCGAAAATTATTTTAAACATTTTAAAAAGTATGTTGTAAGATATTTTAACACAGACAATTTAAAAGAGAATTTTTAATTTTGCAAAATTTCACAATAATCTGAATTTTTTGTTCTTAGTCGTAAGTTCTTTTGTAGAACAAGCCCCAGCCTTTAATTGTTTAAGTGACTAGCCTAACCTATTTAATGAATTTGACAAAAAGTAATTCAAACTAATATGATATTGTGTATAAGTCAAAGAATGAGTGCACTTAAGCTATGAGAGTTGGATCCTGATGTTTTGCGCAAAACATAATTCCAAAATTCATTAAAGAAGGATTGCACTTAAGCTATGAGAGTTGGAACCCGATGTTTTGCGCAAAATAAATTTCCAAAATTCATTAAATTTATGTTTAATAGGTATCAAACGATGTCTTAAGATCAGGTTTTGGTGTATTATATTACATGAAAGTATTAAATAATGCCGAGCGACACTATCTTTTGAGACGGGGGTCTTACAGTTTTGTCTCATTTCTATTGTTATTCATATGCATCCGGTTTTCAACGACTTTGTTTACTTCGAGCCGCAACTTGACCATTTTTCTTATTTGCACAGAATGTGTATTTTATTTTAAACCTATACATATCCAAAGGACAATGTTGGTCAAGTTGCGGCTCATATCTAATTTTTAAAAAAATGTACCTAAACTTCGCTCGATCGAGTTAGCTACTAAATCAGCAAGTCACCGAGTGTCAGCCCATGTGACCCGTTTAATATTATAATCACTTTTCTCACGTGACATTCATTTTGTCAGTCGTTGGAAAATTCTTTTTATATCTACATGTACTTCCATTTTCAAAACATTGAAGATCATTGCGTACAATTTATTGGCGTTTTAAAGTTTACGTTGACTTCTTTCACTATAGTGTTTTTGTTCGGAGCATTTAAAAGAAAAGGGGTATTATTTTGGCGATTACATGCTGTACTCCTAGCAGTGGCGGATCCAGAAATTTTGAAAACGAGAGCCCGACCATTTTTAGGTCTGGGTAGGAGCCCACAGTCACACCTAAAAAAAACTAAACTTTTTATTTTATTTCTCCGTTACTAATTAAATTAGTCCACAATCATTATTCAAGATGATTACGATTAAGTGAAAATGTCATTTTTTTTTAAATACACTGTAGGTTCGAACACATATAATTAATTTAAGATTTAGTTAATTCGCTGCTTGACAGCAAATACTACATGAGTAGTGAGATTTTAAGTATTGCAATTTAAAAAGAACGTTAGATAGAGAAAATTATGCAGTGCTTGATAATGTAGAAGCCGAAATTCATTTTCTTTAATGCATTGTCCTTTGTACTCTGAATAAAGATCAAAACTCTTTTGAAAATTATCTATGCCAGTAATCAAATGACATGTCATTTATGGATTTATTGTGTGTACTTATTTCAGATTATTCTATACAGGTTGCAATTTATTTTTCATTTACACCAAGACAGTCCTTTATGTTCAGAAAATAAAAATGTATTTCAGTGTCATTTTCATCTACCAATAATTCTTTAAAAAGACACTACAAACCTAAGCGTACAAAATGCAGACATATATTTATCACAATTTTGTTTATTTTTATGAACTTTTTGTTTTTCTCTTAATGTTCTGCTCTTTACTAAATTTACATACTTAGGTGGATACAAATTGATGAAATTATATGCATGGTTATAAATCATTTATTTTGAGTACATAATGAACACAAAACCCTCCTCTCCGCCTTTTTCATATATAATGTAAATCAAATACGGAAAACCATGTGCTTATTATCCATTTCCTTGCGATTTAAAAGTCTCCGCCCCTTTGCTGCCACCTTAAAATCGAAAGCGGTCCAGTTCAATTTTCCAGAATTTATGGCTTAAGCATGTTCTTTTCAATAGCGTTGTATGTAATTATAGAAATATGCATGACAAAAAATTCTAGAAATAAATATCAAAAACATATGCTTGCACATTAATCATAGATTAATTTAGCGATATATTGTAATGTTAAGCTTAAAATGGGTAACCGAAAAGGTTCCAAATAACGTCCTTAAGTGCAGGCATTCTTTATGTTTTATAGGTATTAAACAATGTCTTAAGAGCAGGTTTTAATTTATTACATTACATGAAAGTATTAAATAATGCCGAACGACACTAGCTTTTGAGACGGGGGTCTAACAGTTTTGTCTCATTTCTATTGTTATTCATATGCATACAAGTTTTCAAAGACTTTGTTTACATCGAGCTGCAAATTGGCCATTTTTCTTATTTGCACAGAATATGTATTTAAATTTATACATATCCAAAGGACAATGTTGGCCAGGTTGTGACTCATATCTAATTTTCAAAAAAATGTCCTCAAATTAGGGTCGAGATAGCTACTAAATTAACCGGTCACTGAGCAACAACGATTGATATTATAATCACCATTCTCACGTGACCTTCTGCTGTTCGATACGCTAACGCTTTCACTGAAAATTTCATTGTGTTTAAGTCTCTGATGTGACATTATCTATCGTACTTCCAACTTCAAACTATAGGAGACTTTTGCGAAAATTTTAATATGGTTTGAAGATAATATGTCTCTTACTTTTCTTTATGCTTTTCATTAGGGGTGTTTTGAAAGAATTCTGGTATTGACAGTGTCATTAGTAAGTACATGTATTGCTTATGTCGCCTTTGTATCATGGTCTGCACAGCGAGACATTTACCCCATCCCTTAACATTAGAATCATTTAATAATTGTGCACCATGAAATCAACACGATCTCTCTCTCTTCTCCATTTCAATTCGCAATGCGAAAAAAGCATATGTGCTAATGTTTACATTCCACAACTATGCAGTTTAAATGCCTCCGCCTATTTGAGGATACCTTAAAATCGAAGTTCCGGAATTTAAGGCTTTTACATGTTCTTTACAATTACATTTTCTGTAGTTATAGAATATGTATGACAAAAAATTCTTGAAATAAATATCAAAAGCATATGCTTGCACATTAATCATAGTTTAATTTAGCGTTTTTTTTTTTGTAATGTTAAGCTTAAAATGGGTAGCCGAAAGGTTCCAAATGACGTACTTAAGTGCACTCATTCTTTGAAATTGTATAAAAACTACGTTGATATCGTTTAATGTAATTTAAACTAATTATAATATGTGTTTGGGGGGATATTGGAATCAGCATGCCCATTCTCCCTGAGCATTTCAGATTGAAATTTTAAGTCTGATATAAAATCCAAATAAATAATCAAGAATTGGTAACCTTACTCAAAATAATGCATCAAGACAACAAAAGGTTTTTTTTTCATTACAAATATTTGTAACAAATTTATACAAAATCTTTGTTTACAAAATTAATTTAGTCTTAGCTAGCCAAGGGTTTTTGATACGCTACACTCCTCATAATCCCTTGGCATACGGTGTTTATAACAGTTGGGGTTTTTTTCTCGACCCAGTCGACCATCTGCAATTGTTTTTTTTTTCTTTTTGTTTTGTTTTGTTCTGTTTTTTTAGAAATGACGATATTTGCGTTCGGGATACTTCTTGACTCCTTAATCTCGGAAATGAAAAACGCAAGTAAAAAACGATTCGTAAGATAACATGCAATACTCTATGAATAGCTATGGTGTAATCCAATATCTTCTAAATATGTCATTAAGAATACGTACTGGAGCTTCAGATTTGTACTATAAATAATAAATTCATAAAATAATTATAATAATTATAGATGTAATAATAATAAATAATAGAGTTATATTTCTAACATTGCTTCTTAATTATTCTTCAAAAAAAAACTTTATTTTTTTTAAATACGCGTCTTTATTTCTGTCAACGATGCAAAATGATTGATTCGAGATTAAATGACGTGTCTTTTGACTTTACCATTTGCGTACTTAATGAGTTCAATAAAGGAGGGCTAGCTGTTTCATTCATTTCTATTAGAGCATTTCTTATCTGTATCATTTGAAAATTAAACAGAAGAACTTCTGGTCAGTTTACATGTAACATAGCAGATGTCATTCGGTAGTCAGCCTTCTATTTCTAAACTCGATTTTTAAAATTAAGAATATAAAGTGACAAATTTCAGAACATCATGTCTCACATGAAAGTTATGTGTGTTTGAAGGGGAGAGGCATTTGTCAAGATATAATGCAACCAGTTGATGATAATTTCTCATAATTAATGCTTTACCACAGGAAATGTTTGTTTTATCAAATATTATAATAAATGGGAAAAATATAAATTGTGAATTGGCACCTACTCTGGAAAACCCAGCGTGGGGTATTTGTCCCTGTTGGACAGTTCCAGTTAAATTTATATACTAAAGCAAGTAGAAAATTACCTTGGACCCCCTTCAGAAAATGCAGGACCCCCCCCCCTAAAGGTTTTAAAACTTTTGGCTATATTTTGTTTGTTTGTTTGTTTGTTGTTTTTTTGTTTGTTTTTTTTTCTTGTTAAGAAACTTCTGGGTTGGATTTTTTTGACTGGCGTGGAGCATACTGGATAAAAATTCTGGATCCGCGCCTGCTATGATCTCTTCGCATATTTGTACAACTACCGCCATAATGTTGGAGAGTAACCAAGATTAGAGTTATATCAGATTTCTTCCCCTATGGAAATATATTCAGTATTTATATCAAAAATATTAATAACAGTATATCTGAATCAACAAAGTTATGTAAATTCATCCATAATATTAGTTAAAGATTAAAATTAATCATATTATATAAGAAAAATTGTCAAATATCCAATATTTTTGCAGAAAAAAGCGAATTGGAAAATCAGTTATGCTTTTTCTAATTGAAAATTGATCAACAAATATATTATAGGTTAAAACAACGATAGGGATCCAGGCATTCAGAGATATATGTACTGTCATGATTTTTATTCTTATTTGGTATTTGTCTCTTATATTTGTGTCATGTTATTCTATACTACATAGTGTAAAAGGCTTTTGCTATCATTGCAAGACACCACAAATCACGTCTTAACTCATAACATGCTAATAAGCATCATTAAATTGGTATCTAAGGCTGGTGTGTTATTTTTTCTCCTGTTCATCAGATCAAACGCAATGCTTGTGGTTTCTTTTGATCTTATGATCCTCGCTTGTCAATTCGAGGTAATACGACCCTTCAGATCAAGATAATACATCTTGATTATTTGAAAAGAAATATGTATCTATAAAGGACACTTGTCAAGCATAAATGAAATTTGTAGTAACCAGAAAGAGAAATGTTTTTATACTCAATCCTTTTAATTTATTAAATTGATAAAAAAAAATCAAACCTCTATACAAGTTCACAATTAACATTTAATTCTTAAAAGAAGTGAAATGAGAAACAAAATAAATGTTTTATAATAGATCCTTTCCAAGTTATCATACTTAATAAGCATGAAGAAACATCTAATTCTCCCTGATTTTAAAGAAGTCATTTATTAGATGAAAATTCACTTTTCTCTATGTATTCAGCATATCCATAATATTAATAATTACATATGAAATAACTGAAAAAAAATGGCTTCGACTTATCTATTTCCTTTTTGTCCTACTCTTAGGGCCCCGTGGGGATCCGGGTTAGAATAGGTCCTCAGTGCCCCCTTGCTTGTCGTAAAAGGCGACTAAATGGGGCGGTCCTTTGGATGAGACCGTATAAACCGAGGCCCCGTGTCACAGCAGGTGTGGCACGATAAAGACCCTCCCTGCTCAATGGCCCTGAGTGCCGAGCATAGGCCTAAATTTGCAGCCCTTCACCGGCAATGGTGACGTCTCCATATCAGCGAAATATTCTGGAGAGGGACGTTAAACAGTATACAATCTAATCTAATTCTACTCTTAGGAGGGCAATTCTAAAACGGGTCAAATTAAAAAAAAACAGATAATTTTTTTTTCAACAACATTTTTGACTATGTGATTTTAAAATGGTGCACAATTCCATTAAATTCCATATTAAAATCTCTCTTTGAAACATGGGTATGTTTCCTTACACCTGTACTTGAATATACTTGGATGCCCCTTTACCAATTATTGTTTAAAAATGATCCCAGCAGAACTGAAAAAATGTGACAATGTGAGAACTTTTAAATTGGAATGATAGACAGATTGACAGACACACGGCATTAAGTGGTCAGATAAATTCCATTGGTTTTAAAGCTTGGATAACTGTACAAACGGTGGTTAATAAAGATGCACAATAAATAAATGGGAGTTCCTAAAAATTCTTAGAAAACCCTGTATACAAAGACCACATAATTTTATATTTTGTCAATCATATACCTTCTCATCTACATAATACATGTTTTAGAATACTTGTGTAATACTTGTACAAAAAAAAAGAAATGTTTTTTTAATATGCAGAAAGATTTCAATAAAAGAAATATTTATATCAAATAACATGTACCCATTTTTTTGGTCCTCCATCTCTCTTCTATATTTATCTGTTTCTCTGTATCCTCTTTTTCAGTCTGTTTCCATATTTCTTTCTGTTGATAAAGGCTTGATTTTAGCTGGATACCTGGTTTGTCGAAATTTTTATTGGATTCACTAGGCTTATCAGAACTCTCTCTTTCAGGATCCTCCTCCTTCACAAGAGTCCCTAAGCAAGAGTAATGAAAGAAAACGTGAGCAAGCTCCCCCAAAACTCAAAATCCGAAAAATCCTAGAAAAAATAATGTAATTATAATGTATAAGTAATATGTATATATACACATTGTTTCCGAAAAGTCTGCAAATTTTGATGAAAATATGTGTAGCGATTTATGAGGAGTTGCGCTGAAAAACTGTTCATCTCTTTATCCCAGATATACCAAAAAATTTAACGTAAAAAAGGCCGAAATTCCAAAAAAAGATTCAGAATTTCCTGGTAATATACACATCTATACACTGTGTCCTAAACATTTGCCAAATTTAACCTAATTCTGTGTGGCGGTTTATGAGGAGTTGCGCTGACAAAAAAGGACTGACGGACTGACTGACATTCTGATTGACTGACTGACGTATGAACGGGTCAAAAACATTATACTTAACGCAATTTGCTGCGTAGGGTATAATAATTCTTTAAGTAAATACTGTTCTGTGGCATTATATTCCAGAATTCCAGTACAAATGCAATTTTATTATATTTTATACTAGTAAGATCTTAAAAGGTACGCCGCCACAGTCAGAGAGGAATCCTACCTCTTAATAGCACAAATAAAAATTGAAAGATAATAAAATCAATAAGATATTTTCTGAGTTTCAGTGGAATAAGACATACGGTTGGTACATGTATGTGATAAAATCTACTACACTAAGTTCAATGCCCATTGAATTTTTTTTTAATTTACCACTTGACCAACTTTACGTCATACCTTTAAGTAAAGCTCAAAAAATGTCTTTGTCTTTAATAAGTGTCTTTATTTATCTCTTTAAAGAAGAAGGTAAAGTTTCAACACAAATTAAGCCCTATATTTTTCTAAAATATGAAAGTTCATTCTTTCTGAATCAAAGGAATTCTCTGCAGTACGAATATACAAATGTTTTTTTTTTCTCATATGACCTCCTAAATGCTAATTGCGACGTCATTAATTTGTGCAAGTCTTTAAAGGTCGCAGTCTCGCAAAAAGTGTGCATGGACCAGTCTAGCGTTAAGCAAATTTCATTATAAAGTCAAACATTTTGATTTTAAACTTTAACACATCTTCATAGACACACGCTACATTTGTTTTTTTTGCGCTACATTTCGAAGTCTAGGATTAATCTTTAGATATAGATTATAATTTATTTAATTTTAAACATTCAAAACAATACACAAACATTTACGAGAGTCATCAATATTATAAACAGTTTGTATACACACACTACACAGCTTACTTATAAGTATTGATGATGGTATTTTGCCATTTTGGCAAAGAAACTCTGTAATAGCTCTGATATACAAAAAAGGAGAGAAAGAAATCTTAAGAACTATAGACTAATTAGTCTTACAAACGTTGATTACAAAATTTTTAACTATTTAGCAATCGTTTGCAAAAAGTTGCTAGTATAATAATTAGTGGTGAACAAAGTGCTCATATTTAAAGTAGATTGGGGAGGACGCTAGAATAATAGCAGAGTTTTTGTGCAAGTAATGACATTGGTTATATTTTGTTCTTTCTAGATGGTAAAAAAGCTTTTGTTTCTGTTGAATATAACTTCATATACAAAAACTCTAGAAAAGTTTTATTTTAGAGAAAATTTTATCAAAATGATAAAGACATTATATTTTAAACTAACTTTCAATGTAAAAAATAATGGCTGAATGTCAAAATCATGTACAATGCAAAGAGGGATTAGATAAGGCTGTCCTGTATTAGCTCTTTTATTTATTTTTAGGGATGTGAACGAATAGTCGACTATTCGACTATCAGTCGAATGGACCCACGATCAAATAATAAAACGACATTCGAATAATTTATAAATGCAAAAAAAAAGAGATGTTAAAGAATTTTCAACTCAAAATTGTAAACTGTCATTCCTCAAACAATTATAGTATCGTCCTCAGACGAATAAGATCTTAAACACAGGCACAGAATATAAATAAGTTTCCACATTGCACACATGGAAAGTACAGTAATTACCTGCCGCGATAAGTATTTCTCAATTACTGACGTTTTCATTATTGTAGTAAATTACGCAGCGCTTTACTAGACTTTGAAAATTATCAATTGGACTTGTACCAATTATAAATTTATTCATTACCTGTAAGAGTGTTTAAATAATGTACCGAGTGTTTAAATAATCTTATAGGAACACAGCATAGTCATGAAGTTTTGAAACTTCAATAAGGAAGAATATGGAAATAACGAACAGTATTCAATCTCAGCGTCCATTAAACAATATACAAAATAAAAGCAGAGCAAACACGGACCTCCGAAACATCAGAGGTGGGATCAGGTGCCATGGAGGAGTGAGCATCCCCTGCCGACCGGTCACACCCGCCGTGTGCTCGTTGTCATAATCAGGAAATAACGGAAAAAATCCGTCGTCAATTCAGTGTATAAATAATGGACTAACAATTGGTATGAAAAACGTCAGTCAGCATTTCATTCAATGATAAATTGTATTTGCTGACAAGGTCATTGTATCGACCATAGAATTTACGAAATGATGACTTTAAACGAGACTGCTGATATTCTTGTTTCATCAACTTGCTTGTCAATAATTTACCTCGTTTAAAAAAAATGTTCATACGTAGAGCATGCTCTTGCGTATTTGCGTCCGACAAATAACTATTAAAACTTCAATATCCGCCTCTCCTTTTTATTTTCCATAAGCTTAAAAACACTGTGCTGACCAAGCGTATACAAGATCAAAAGAATGAACAGACAAATTTATGAATGTGATTTACGAAAATTAATACATTTTGGTGAATCAATTGCTGGTGTAAATCTTTTTCGTTTCTACATCTTATCCCAACTTTAGGTTCATCTGAAGATCCGTGTGTAACACACAGTATTGGCATTAAATGCTACTTTTTACTTAAATTTACGAAAAGGGTTTTTGATTCATAAAAACGTAATCGATGAGATTTTTTTTTTCAAATAATATTTATCCGAATAGTTTACTATCGTTCAAATAATGCAGTCAAATGTCCGACTATGGAAAATAAATATTTTGATATCCCTATTTATTTTTGTGTTAGAAATACCAGCAGTTCAAGTAAAAATAATGAAGAAATAATCGGTTTATCGCCGGGTGATAATGGAAATTAAAAAACCGTAAAACATGCAGATGATAGCACTAATTTATTGAAAGACGCCAATTCATTGAAATTTTACAAACAATGCGTGAATTTGGCAAAGTTGCAGGCACTAATTTGAATATGGACAAAACAGAATGCTTATAAACAGGAACATTTATTGAAAAGTATTTAAATGAAAAATATATTTTTGGTGTTAAATTTGCTAAAAATCATGTAAAATTATAATGTTTATATCTCTGTTAAATTAGAGACTTTTGAAAAAAAATAATGGGTGTTTCGAGAAGGCGAATCAAATTATAAACAATCTCCGGAAAAAGCACTATAATATAAGTACACTAGGATCATCTAAATTGGTATATAATGCTTTAATTGTATTTTTCCCTAAACCAAAAAGATGATTTCTTGAAAAATGTATCAAAACTTATATTTAATTTCCTTTGGAAGAAAGAAAATAGGATAAAGAGAAATACACAAATTGGCTAAGTTGACCAAGGTGGATTTTAAACTTGCATACTTAATAAATTGTAATATATTTAAGAAATAAAGTCCGCGTTTTCGTGAATGTTGCTGGATAACCTCTGAGGTCGAGAAATCTTGTTTAAAAGATAAAAGCAGAGCCGTTAGCCGAGGCTTTTATATTTCAAATAGCACTTAGAGACCGTGGAGATTAGTCTGCATCATTAACCACAGGAAGAAACAAGACCTTTCAATTAAAACTGAAAGGCGGCTTTCAGTAACTTTTCAGTGGCCATTCAGCCACTGAATGGCACATACATTTCAGTGATCATTCAGTTGCCTTTCAGTCACATTTCAGATACCTTTCAGTCACCATTCAGCGGACACATTTCCGTCAACTTTCAGTGGCCTTTCCATCAACTTTCAGTGACCATTCCATCAACTTTCAGTGACTTTTCCGTCGTCTTTCAGTGACCTTACCGTCGATTTTCAGTGACCTTTCTGTCGTCTTTCAGTGACCATTCCGTCGACTTTCAGTGACCTTTCTGTCGTCTTTCATTGACCTTTCCGCCACCTTTCAGTGATATTTAATTTTCAATTTAGCAATCTTTTCACTCGTGTATTATTTTATAATCAGATATTTTTCCTTAACAAGGAAGCAATATTTTGAATAAAGATTCATTATTCAATCTTACTTTTGTTTTTTTTTTTTTTTTACTTATCGTGATCAAATTCGGGTACCTTAAAATATGTCTAGGTAATTATTATTTTTTAATTACAAGAATAAATCGTTTATACATGCCTCTTGTAGAAAAAAAAATATATAGGAGATTTTAGCTTTCTAAATGATATTGCTTTAATAAAATCATTCTACTAAGTTTCTAGATAGAGAATTTACAACGATCTTAAATCTTTGACACAGGAACAGGTGCCCGTCTCTGATAATTGTCATCATCCCGATAGGAGATGTGTAATTGATTAGTCTGTCCCCAAAATAAAATATGGGAGACTTATTCAAAATGAATTTTAATTTAAATTTTTTAGTAACATTAAGAAAAAAATAAATTCTTCGAGTGATAAAAAATGATGATCCGAAAACCGATTCAAAATTTAAATAAATGCATAACATTCTATAGTGCTTATACGTGTGTTTTTTCATGGAAATATATAGTTTGATTGATGAGACAGAATTTATATTATTTAAACCATTTCTGGAAGATCGCAAGTATTACTGATCAATTTCGTTTCTTAATTATGTCATTGTCAAAACTGCAGGATATTTAGTTTTTAAAAGCCATTATTTCAAATTCATTTTTAATAACAAGAATAAATAAATCGTTTATACATGCCTCTTGTAGAAAAAAATAAATAGGAGATTTTAGCTTTCTTAATGATATTGCTTTAATAAAATCATTCTA